GGAAAGATTTAAGTGTTTTCATGGACTGAAAGTTCTTTGGAACAAAGCTGTAATTTGTTTAGAAAAGCAGTAACATCATGGTTTCTGTCTCAGGTTTAGGGACCATTGGCTATGTTCAGCTTGATGGATCTGGATACAGAGAGTTGAAGGCCGGTGATGGCCTGGCTGCTGTGGCTCTGAGTGATGATACGCTGCTTTGGATGACTGTTAATGGTAATGTCTCATAGCATCTGCTTAATTAAATACACCTAATGCCATATTAGAGGCACCAACTTGCAGGTGGTGCTGTTCAACAAGCTATTCAAGACATTGCCTCCATAAGAAAATAGTTTCATAACATGTGCGTTTGAAATGCAACACATCATTGAAGGGTCAAGCTATGAGTGCTACTGAACCTGTAACAGCTTGTGATCTTTTCTGTATTTTTCATGGTGCTACATTTCTTTGTGTTGGCTTTTCCCTCAGACAAAACCAGGCTCTGGTACAGAGATGAGCAGCAGCAGAACAAGTTGTGGTTTGAAGTTGGCACAGAAGTGGTCAGCTTGAAGGCATTTAGCAAGTCAAGTCAGACTGGTATGAAAGAACCAGACCTCATGATGCCTGGGTCATAAAGCTGGTGTTGATATAGCTGGGAGTCACCCATTTTTATGGTTCTAAATGCCAAAAACAAAAATCACAAACTCCAGTTGATTGACAGTCTGCTTGTTTCACCAGGTTCTAACCAGTGCACAGAAAACAACGGCAACTGTCAGCACTTGTGCCTCGCCACCCCAGGAGGTCGGACATGCAAGTGCGGCCATGATCACGTCCTTGTGAATGCCACCCACTGCAGCCCAGAGCAGGGCTGCCCAGCTGGCACAAGGCCATGTCTGGATCAAGTCTCATGCCAGCCTGTCGAGAAGTTCTGTAACGGGCGTGTAGACTGCTCCGACCACTCGGATGAGAACTGTGAGTATTTATATATTTATACCTCCTTTTTAAAGGGTAATAAGAACTAGAGGATATCACAATATAGGTAAATGGATATAAGTAAGCTACACCTTGAACTGCAATGACTGAACCGGCATGGAGTTTTGGCTGAAACTACTGTTGTCGTCGTCTTCTAGGTGTCAGTCTGAAGCAGTGGTCAGGAATCAAGGTCCTTGCTCCCACGCAGCCTCGCAGCTCATCTCCTCCTCCTCCCCCTCTCCCCCCTCTGTCTGAAACCAATGACCTGAACACAACCCTGAATGTCAGCAGCCTGCTCATGAACCTGGATGCCCAGCAGTGCAGCCAGAGACACTGCAGTGGCAATGGACGCTGTGTGGACAACAGTGGGGACACTGTATGTGTGTGTTCACTGGGCTACAGCGGCGATTCCTGTACGGACCATCTCCTGCAGACCGTGCAGCGTCCCTTGGTCTATGGTGCCGCGGTGCTCGGTGCAGGAGTGCTGGTCATTTCTGTGCTGGCAGTGGTGATCAAGAGGAAGAAGAATGCTAACATGAGGTTTTTCAGTTTATACTAATTATTTAGAAACCGTTGTGTCTCAGACACAAAGATGGACAGTTTCCTTTTTATAAGACATCAACTTTTTTAAATTTAACTATGAGCTCTACAAGGCACAACCACACTTTGAGCTAGATGCTAACATCATCAGCTGATTAAATGTCAAGATGGAGGCCAACAACCAATTCAGTGTATTTTCTACATTTGATGTCTATGGGGAGAGTTTGTTTGTTTGTTTGTTTGTTTTTAAAAATGTTTTGTCACTTGTAGCAACAGTTGAATCTATAGAGGTAGCACAGGACTAAATTTGTCTTTCCTTCCTGTAGGAGAGCTAGCCCAGCTGCTATGAAGGATACAAGTATGACAGACCTGGAGAAGAAAGCTGAGACCGCCCCACCCACAACTGCCCCAGTAGATACAGAAAAGCCAGAGGTGGACCACCCAAGAACTCCATAAACTATCAGGGTCCCATTTGTCTTAATGTGCCTATGAGATGAGTGTGACTTTACCTTCTTTCTCTGCAGGAAGCGGTATCGTCTGTGGACTGAGGCTGATATATGGGCAAGCAATGTTTTAAATAAACAGTTTGCATTTTCCTCTGTTTCCTGTAAAGTTATTTCAGAATTGTTTATTTCTTAATTGTCTGTTATACACCCAATTTAGACTTTTTCTTTTACATGGACTGCAGCAGATAATTGCCTGAGTTATGGCAATGACATAACTGACAACATCGGAGGTCGATGGTCGGTGGTCTCTCCTTTTGTAAACCGCTTGGAAGAGATTCAGCACCGAGTATAACGAAGGACAATAAAGATGTGGCGCAGGATGTACTCTGATCCAGGAGGACAGACCACGACTGCACAAAATGCCACATGCCATCTAATGTAACTGGGGAGACTAAGAGGTTCTTGATCCAAAACACACTTGCTAATCTCTTTCCTTGTGCGACCTCTAGATGTCCTCAAGAAGTCGCATATTATGTGTCACAAAAGATGAAGGCAGCAACTAACAATTTTCATTATCACTTAATCGTTTGGTTCATGAAATGCTAAACAAGAGTCAAGTGCATGTCCCAGTTTCCAAAATGTTTCATCCCTCAACCATATGAACTAAATTTAATTTTCTCCAAATATGGCAACTTTCTTTGATCTGAGAGAGTATGTATGATGAGACATTGTGATATGTATTTAAAGTCTAAAATGGATTCTTCCCATTGTTTACTCCAAAACCACAAAACACATGTTTACTCTGCCTGTGAATAGGCACTTCTGGTGCAGCTGCTCATTCTCATTATCCTCAGTGTTTAGCACTCTCTAATTTCACTCAGTCTGGGGGTGTGATTTAGTGATTTAGATTTGATTGTTCATGAGTCGGAACTGGAATGAAGAATGCTAAAGACACAAACCAGATGATGAATCACTGCTTTATTGTACCCACACATCAACAGTCATATAAATGCAAGGCTAAGCAGAAATTAGCTCATGGTAGAGTTGGTACATACATCGGCATTAGTCTGCTGTATCCCTATGGTGTGCAGGGATAAGGGGACACTCAACCTATCCAGGTAGGAATGCGGAAAAGCTATATTATTCAAAAATAATAGTTTACATTCTCTACTATCTAATATACAATTGATATTCATATATTGTTTATGTAGCTAATTTTTATGCCAAAGTTTCAGTATATGTTTTTCTGAATGGTGGAATTTTAATCCCTACTTAAAAATACATCTCCATTACACATTCAAACAGTTAAATGAAAAAAAAGTTGTTGAAATGTTCTCTTTGTGCAGAATAGTGTTATGGATGCAGATATTTAAAACTGATGCATTAACATGTGAGCAGCATTTTAGCGGATCAATCTCGAGGACTGATTTAACTAAAGTATTGGATAGGTAATATGGAAAATCTCAGACATTTCTAACCATAATAGAGCCCTAAAATCTTTATACTTATAGCCAAGTATAGTTAGAAACATTTCACCTGTTTTAATGCAAATCAACTTGTCAAAAATGTTGTGGAAATAAGTCTCTGTATCGTGAAACATCAGCAGGCTGTGATAGAAATAGAAAATAGAATAGAAAAAGTTGATTTTAGAAGTTAATTTGCATTGAAGATAGGTTGAAATATCCCTGCTACACGTTTAAGTTTAAGGAACTAGTTGCTGACTAGAATGTCTTGATAAGGGAAGTTTTTAGCAGCTGATAGCAAAATGACTGTCAGTCGGGTAAAAAGTGTGATATCTAAAAGAGGAAATGTAGTGGAGGAGAAGTATATAATAGTATAGATTAAAAATACTGAAGTGACATACAAGCACCTCAAATCTGTTCTTAAGTGCAGTGCCTGAGTAAATGTACTTGGTCACATTACTGAACCAGTATAGTGCTTATGGTTTATTTGTTTCAGTAAATACAGGAAACACAGTAATGGCATTTCTATGGACTACACTTTGCGCTGTCGTCATGGTGACTGCAGCCATGTCTAAACCAGTAAGTAGCTCTTTTATTCTGTTATTACATCTATACCAATGTAAAGCAATGTAAGAGGACTTTCATGTCACCTTCCTTATTATAAAAACAGGTCTGTCTAAGTGAAAATGAGGATTCATCCAAGTCATCAGAGTCCAGAGACTCCAGTTCATCAGAAGAGACTGACACTCACATTCGGGATTCACAAGACCCCCTGCAGCCAGCGTTTACAGAGACAGACAGGCCTAATGCTAAAGAGCAGACCGACCCCCTGAACACTGCAGCCCTACTTCCCTCTGCAGACTCGGGGCTTTCTCCAGCCGCGCTCAACACTTCAGCACTGCCAGACCCTGAGGACCCTCAAACCTCCACTGACATTGATGCTTTACAGCTCATGCCAGAAGATCCTTCGCAAACTGCTCTCGGCATGGACATTTCTCAAGATATGCCTAATACGGATCCTGCACAGGACTCAATGAACACTGACACTGTGCACGTTTTACCAGACACAGCGGTCTCACTACACCCAGGGAAAACAGAAACTGATATACTCATAGGTGTTGGTGGACCAGCTCAACCACAAGTCATCACCACCACCTCCACTACGTACCAAGGATTCCCAAGGGGTGCCACTCCACCCTTTCCTCCACACATTATCAAACCAACACTTCCACCATTCTCCACAACCCCTCCCCTGCCAATCCCAATCGCCACCTCCCTGACTGCTAGTCCTGGTTCTTTCATTTTACAGTTCAGGACCCCTGAGCCGGATCCACCCAGAGGAGACAGCATTTGATCTAAGAAACTGTGATCGATTTCAATTTCAGTTCCACTTCAGGTTACTGGCTTGGCCCATGTTTGTTCTAGATATATGTAGCGTTTTCTTGATACTTTGTAATAGTCACTGCTATATAAATACAACTGAAATGTACTGATGTTTATTAGCTACAACACCATGTGATTAAATGCTCTTATCTCTAATTCAATGAGTGGTTCTGAAGAAAACACACTACAATACTGTTAAGTAAAGTTATGTTATGTTTTTATTGGGAGTTTGTATTACTGTCATTGTAAACATAACCACACTTCACATCTGCAAGTAACAAAGGATCATTTGTCACAGCAGCTGTACCAAAAACTACAGTAGGACATGTCTGTTATGAGAGGGAGACATCTGATTGCTGCATGTGTTGCAGTTGAAATTAGCATCAATTTCTGATCAAAGAGGTGATGGAAAATTAGATCCACACTCAGGAATTAAGTCAGATGTAGAAAAATACTGTTTAATCTTTGACTCACATGCAGAAACTGAAAAGTACAGGAGGTGCAGATGCTGCACTGAGGATGGTCCACACGCGGACTGAAACATCTGCATCTTTTTGAGGTTCGTTTACTGCACATATGCCCTGTGACTCCTTCCCTTTCACTCAGTCCATTTTTAAGTGATTGTGCAGACGATATTAATCATGTGGACTTATAACTGAGGCTAGTTTTTCATTTTCAGTTGTGTCTGACACATTTTCAAGCCTGGTGGAGTGGTACATATAGCTTTGCAGGCAGGTTTAGTGTATATGACAAGTGGACACACCTTTGTTCAAACAAAGAGCATTTCAATAGGATGTCTGGAACAGTTCCTGAACTTAACAGAAGACAATCACAACTGGTGAGATGCTCCAGCTCAATGTCACTGAATGATTGGCTGCAACACTAATGTGCTGTGGGTGACTCAGGTTGATCTTGCTGTTCGGGCTCTGTGTCAGTCTCTGCCTCATTCTCAGTGTCCTGCTCTGACTGTTGTTGCTGAGGCGGCTGGATGAGTCCTCCCTCCTGTGCTGTGTTGTAGGAGCCACAGCCGCTGCACTTTATGCCCAGCACGTGGAAAGGTACCGCGCAGTGGGCTTGGCAGTCATTACATATTATCTATAGTGAGGAAAAACAAAGGCGATGGATTACATGTAAATATAACCAAGTTGGATGATTACTAACAACAGTCACCAAGGCCCATTTCTATTTAATTGTACAAAGTGGAGTGAAATGAAATGCAAAACACCGGGCTAATTCATCAGTACTTCAAAACTTCTTCATTTAACATAAACAAAAGTATTACTTGGACATTTTATTGTATATATTAAGGTCTTACTTTGACAGTGGCACCCTGGTATTCAGTGGGCATCGGTGACTGAGCGATCTCTATGTCTATCTGATCCCAGTGGTCCTCCATGTTCCAGGCAGAGTGCATACACAGAGGGCAGCGATACGCTCTGAAACAAACAAGGAAAAAATAACATTTAGTGGAAGGCGTTATTCAGTTCCTTTAGTAACCAGGCTACTGTTACTCTGTCTATACGTGCAGCAGGTCGGTAATCAGGTTTATCACCTTCCCCAGACCTTATTTTGGAATCATGGTTTACTTATTCAGCAAAGTGCCCAGTCGCAGAAACCAGTTTTCTGCTTTACTTGATGGTTAAGAAATCAACTTACTGGAGAAAGCCAGCTGTATCCTGGTTACTTGATTGTACGTAAACACACTGACTGATGCAGGACTCAATTGTTTCAGAAATATTTATGTCAAACAAATTAATAATACCTAACTTTGAAAAAGACCATATCTTACTCAACTAAACAATTCCCAGGGAAAAGGACTTATTAGACATACCCTGTTCTGACCATGTCATCAAAGCAGGTCCTGCAGAGAATCAGAAAAACATGTTAACTGTTACATTTATCTCATAACAGATCTTCAAATATTATTACTACATGAAAATAAACCACTATACTTATTTAGGGATATGTAAGGCTTGACAATATAATATTTTGATTTAGTAGTCTACATCATCAACATTTGAATATCCTTTCAACTCTCTTCTCTTCATATTTAATTATATTATATTTCTTCTCTTATATTGCTAATACCATTGTACTATTAGATTTTTTTAACTGTGGTATAGAGAGTAACCACTCTGCTTTGTATCTGTCAGGCCTAAATCCAAGATTCTTGTATTTTTCCATCCTTGTAATTACAAATTATGCACAATTCAATCCCACAATCCTGAGCTACGTGTATTTAGGGAATAATGAGTCATACTTGTGTAAAAGATGGCCGCATGGAAGAACGTGAGCCCCAATTCTGGACGTGTGAATATCCTGTACATACAGAGGAAAATCATATCAAACTGTAGAGAAAGCAAAGGACTGAATAAATCCAACATCACTCTGTATATCAACCAATGTATTATGTGTTTTATTACCTCCATACACACTGGGCAGTTCTGCCTTGACACATTTTCAACACACTGAAACATAAAAAATAATAGTAAATAAAAGCAGTGATGATACTACAGACAAATACGATGTGTGTGCATCAGAAACAGGTGCAGGATAATAATCACCTTGTGGTTTCCCCGTAGATCCTGGGCTAAACACAGATTGCACTTCTCACAATGGAAATACTTCTCCCTGGGCCCAATCCTGTAGGGACCAAAACACAGTGGCACTGACACAGGTTTCAATCACCTCATGCATGAATAACATGTGAATGGATGCTTGAGGACGACACACAAACACTGAATTGTAGATTACTTCAATGCATGGAAGCAAAAACAAAACCGCCAGTGGCAAAGTGGGACAGAAAAAGTCATTGGCAGAATCACACAGGGATACTGCAACATTACTTTTTTTTTCTTTTTTTTTGCATTGACAAGTTGAAACATCAGTGTATGCATTAGTATAGCAGATTTGAAAACTCAGTGAATTACCAAATTACTGATTGTGGAGTCAGCTGATTTAGAAACACTGAAATCTAACATCAGGATGTTACAAACAAACATCACAACATTGAGATTTTGTCCTTGAATTAACTTGAATTAGTTGTGTAGAAAGAAAAAGACAAATACTGCATCCTTCTTTAAATGGGTCTTCGTCTTGTTATAGTAAGTATCTTCTACTGAGGTTATAATTTTACAAAGATATGTAACTATGTAGCTATATAACAAGTATTCTCTAAGCTCTACTGTTTCTCACCTGCATATTCCACAGGGTTGACAGTGGTACTGCTTCTTATCCTTGTCGAACAAGTGGCAAATGTCACAGTAATACTCCCCAAACTGCACATGGCACTGCTGGCAGGTCTTCTGTGCCTAAAAGAGTGAAATCTCACATTTGTACCATTGATTTATCTTGATGTGAGCTAACCACCACGTGCATGACTACAATATAAAATAAAGATCAAAGCGAACGTGAGATTAAAGATCACTGCTACAGGTGAGAGTGGAGTTGAAACATATCGGTTGCAGATGTTTTTTTTCCCTTCTGTTACCTGCTGCACTGTCTGACACGCAGAGCACTGCACCTCCCTGACTTTAAAGCGATCCATCTGGTGGTTTTCCTCTGCGTCATGACACAGCCGACACACGTACAGTTTACCACAGCAAGGCGCCTGCAGTGCATAGAAACATAATGTCAATCATACTTTTATTAGATGCAAAGCTGATACCGCAACTATTCTATATTTCTGGCTGCTACAACTCTGGAAGTTTATAGAAAAGCCAAATTAAAGTTTCAGTGACTTTTTAAAAAGGCCTACATATATGTTACAAACAACCAGCACGTATGACTGAGATGGTGACTGATAATATAATTTAACAGATAATCCAATACTAACAAAACTTCAAACCCCATTGTACTTTGTTATGCAGCTAACACATACGAACCATGAAGACACTAATATGTCATAAAGATACAGTTGTTGCGTTAAGTAAGCGTTTAGGTAACTAACTAACGTTAGCTATGAGCTAAAAGAGTAGCTCCAATCGTTATAGCAGAGTTACAGCTAGTCATATTTAACACCACTATGCCTCCATCTTGCATGTTATAAAAATATACACATTTCATTTGAAAAAGTTAACTCACTTTCAATAAGCAGCTGCGTGCATAATGCTCACAACCTACAGGAGAAGCCATGTTTTCTCCGTGTCTCTTCTTCGCGGCCAGTGGGAGGCTGCCCGCTTTTCTTCTTCTTTGTTTTGACAGCGTAGACTCAACATTACTGCACCCCTCCGTTTGAGATGCCTACCAAACCCGTGAGCAAATTGCTTTCATTGGTTAAGTGTTAAAAAAAATTGCAGTGACAAACAAGGTGATATGGCACAACATCTGTGGCCCCATTTCCCCTTTTTATCATATTTTATGAAATAATTTTCAGGTGAACCTCCGTATTATAGGTGGAGCTCAATTCACAAACTTCGAAGAGAGTCATCATTTAATTTCCCCGTCGTATTTAACATTAGGTCAAATAATGAGTTCGATCGCCGTTTGATACACTGCAGTAATAGATGTTTTCCTCTGTTCGTCTACTTTCTCCTCTGTCTAATAATTTATACTCTCCATTCCTAGATTGCGGATATCTTGATAATCTATGCCCTGACCGCAAGTGTTATGGGCGCCGCTGGTGTAGTGGTATCATGCAAGATTCCCATTCTTGCGACCCGGGTTCGATTCCCGGGCGGCGCACGAATTTTGCTCCAGTAACTATCAGCGAAAATTAAAATGTTACAAATGTAGCAATGAGAGTTATTGAATGGTAGTAAATAACGCCAACAGTCTAATCAAATACCTTGTATATTACCATTTACTTTAACTGCATCATAACCATTTCCCAGATGTGTCCAGCTGCTATTTCCTCAAACGTTTGGCACTTTTGTCAATTAAGCTATGACGAGGAATAGGTTAATGGAAATATAATTTTGCAGTTATGCAAGACTGCCGGTAACGTGCTATATGTGCAGTTTTTGCCGTACAGATGTGGAGGCACATCTTTGTGTGTGGGAGAAAGAGCGCTTGATTTTGGCTTCATTTCAGCGCGCAGGTTGACGCTGCTGACGCCGCTCCTCCGCCATCTTCAACTTCCTATTGTTTGCATCAGACTGAGGCTGTCTGCGGTGTGTGTGAGAGCAGAATCGGCCACCGATCTGTCATTAAATAGTTGATACAGCCTTAACGTTCGCGGTCGCTAAAGTTGAGCACAAACAATTTGTATGTCATTGGATTAAAGACCTCTCAGGACGCTACCACTAAACCTTGATGATGGAGGACGATCAACCCAGAACCTTGTGAGTAACAGCGGCCCTGTCTATGTCCTGGAATTGGAAGGCTCCGTGTAACTACGGCGCGTCCGAAATGTTTCCACGTTGTTGTTTCAATTAAAAACTGTAAAACCTTGTAATTTTGACACACATGGACATTTAACTCGCATTAGCATTTCATGTCGACAATACCTGCGTCTGTAAATGTATTTTGACAAAGGGGATTTTCGACATGAACGTAAAGTTCTGTTTGATTTAGCCGTAGAAATAGACGGAACCGTAACTCGCCTGAAAATGAAACTGAACGGCTAGTTAATGCTAGCTATCATTAGCTAAACAGTTGGAAGCTATACCGCCGCTTCTTCTAAAATGCACACGTCTTCGAGGAATAGCTATATCCCCAAAATTAGTCTTAATTTCTTACTAATAGACAGGTATTAGCTAGACCCTCACGAAAAGGATGTAATTTTACAAAACGCCGTTAGCTGCCAACCCACTTAGCATGAGGCCCGTTTATACCGGCTAGCGTTATCTTTAGCTAGCCGGTAGACAAGCCACGTCAACGGTCGGAGAGACGGCACAGGATAGCACCAGAAAGGGGGTGACCATACTGTAGTTGTTTGTGTAAAATTGAGACTATCCCCAGTGGTATTTAGTCCACGACCATTGTCGATTTTATGCTAAAATAAGGAATTGTTGTGGGTTGTAGCTAGCCCTGTTAACTAGCCTTTGTTTGCATGCTACTTCCTGTTTGACAAAGACTGAACTCCCTCATCTCTCTCCTTGTTTGCAGGTATGTGGGGAATCTGTCCAGGGATGTCACTGAGCCCCTTATCCTGCAGGTCTTCACACAGATTGGACCCTGCAAGAGCTGTAAAATGATAGTTGATGTGAGTGTTATTCCCTTGTCTGGTATATATTGTTTGACAATAAGAAATACAATCAACAGTGGCTGGATAGGTTGTGGTGCCATGAAGGTCTCAATCTACACATATGCTTGATACCGATATTCCTCTTCCAGTCTGTTATATCAGGCCTGACACGCCAAGATACAGTAGGTGACTCTTGTCATGAGTGACTAAATAGTCACTCTTGCTGTGGACTTAACATCAGTCTTGTTTTCCCGTTGACAGACGGCTGGAAATGATCCGTACTGCTTTGTGGAGTTCTATGACCACAGGCATGCTGCTGCCTCATTGGCAGCCATGAATGGAAGGAAAATAATGGGTAAGGTAAGCTATCGTATCTACAGGGTGAGTGGGGATGGGTGGGCATCGGGTGTGGGGATTTAGGTTGTGTGTCTTCCTAAAAAAACAAATAGTGAAGTGATAGCATTCATATTCCAGTACATAGATAGGGTTTTCCAACTGACAGGGGGAAGCTGCTGCAGCCAGGTTTCAAATCAGATGTTAATCATTTTGAAGATGGCCAGAAAGTAGTGTTTCTGTTAGAAAAATTGGTTCATTAGCTTATACCTAATGGTCTTGAATTCCTCCACATCTACCACCTCAGTTTCATCTGAGGTGGTAGATATGGAGGAACGTTGGCAACGTGTGACATTAATGTTTGAAGCTAATTCAGGTTTGAGAAATAATTGACAGAAACATAATTCAGGGCTCCACTGAACAAGCCTGTACAAGCCTGTGTCAAAATATTCAAGACCATGTAAGCTACATTGTAAAGATAGCATAACACAAATGTCAGGTTATCTAGAACATTAGAGCAAACCATTAACATTTTAATTTTACACTTTTAAAAGACCACAGGGCATTCTAAAAGAATAATTAAGTGGTGCTGGATGGTGTAATGATGAGTTGAGCTTCTGGAGTCAGTGTCAGACTGAGCAGCCACTGTTCAAGTGATTTGCATTGCACTGGCCACCGTTGCAGATGAGTTTTGTAACTTTCAGTGGTACCTGCATTTGTTATTATTGGCTTATGCCTCGCATTAAAATGCATTGCATTGATGCCCCATTCGAATCATACCATGGTTGTACTCTTTGCTCTTATGCTAATAAATTCCTACACCCAGCTGTGAAATTGTTTGAGTCACAAATAGTAGTTCCAGTTGTTCTTAATTTGGTGCTAAGTTAATTCAGGTACTAAGATTTGATACAAGAGAAATCTTCCTATACTTTGTCAGTTGATGTGCACTGGACAGAAGTTAGGGAAACGGCACCATATCACATTAAATAGATAGTACACAAATAAGTCCTTTTTAGTCAGTCCTTAATTCATACAACCTCACGTGGGAATTACCAGGTTTTACTGTAAATGTTGTAAACATACCCCACCTGGCCTGTTCTCTCTCTGCCCCTCTCCATAGGAGGTCAAAGTCAACTGGGCCACGACGCCAACCAGCCAGAAAAAAGACACAAGTAGTAAGTACAAGTGCTTGTCAGTGGGCATATACACTTCATTGGCAGTATATTCAGTACACCTAGTTAAGACTAATGCAACAGCTAATAAATCCCCTCTAAAACAGTTTCAACACAAACAGAACTTTATAACCTTTATGGAGGAGGATTTATTGCAGGACTGTTGTATTAGACTCCATCAATTTTAGCTAGGTGCTCCTAATAATAAACAGCCAACTGAATGTTTACTTTATGACATTAATACATTGTAAAAGTCTGATTCATAAATGAAAATTGCAGGGAACGATTTACACTGCATATATGTTTACATATATTCCTAATGTAGTCATTTCATTTTCTTGTCTGGATTGTGGTTTTCCCAGGATGACACTTGTTTTGACCTTTCTCTACTAACAAGCTGATAAAAATGCGCAAATACAGGCAGGAAGTCAAGATCTTGGAAAGACCATCAAAGCTTGAAATAGTGTGTATTAGCATATACCATGTTTAAACTGCTTTCCCTCCTACAGATCACTTTCATGTCTTCGTTGGAGACCTCAGTCCAGAAATAACTACAGAAGACGTCAAAGCTGCCTTTGGTCCATTTGGCAGGATATCGTAAGTTTAAAGCTAATATTTACCGATGAAGATTCAGAGCTGCAATTATCGGTCAACTAATTGATCGACAGAAACCTTTCAAGTAAAAAATGCCAAATATTCTGAGGTTCTAGTTCATAAGATTTGCTGTTTCTCTCTGTTTTATTTTATTGTAACTTGAATGTGTTTGGACAAAACGCAATATTTACAGACACCAATAAGGACTTTGGGAAAATGTGATTGCTGGTTTTGCAATTTTTTTGACATTGAATAGATAGAAACAATCAATCAATTGTAAAAGAATCAAAAGATTAATATATTACGAAGATAATTTTTAGATGCTGCCTTACAAAGAGAACGAAATCGGGTATAGACAATGGAAAATGAGGCCATGCTCTGACAATGGGGAAGTAATGTTTTTCCCATTTCTGCCTCATACCAATACAAAATGAATCATTTTAATTAAAGCTGAAACAAATAAGCCATTAGTTTATCGCTTTAGTATTTTTTTAAACAAAAATTTAATCAATTCACAGCGTCCATCTTTTCAAATGTGAATATAGGTTGTTTTCTTTATCATCTATTGATCTTTCTGAGTATTTTGGGGTTTTCATTGAACAAAACAGGCAGTTTGAACACGTCGGATTTTGGGAAACTGTGCAAGGAAATTTGATAAGAGCAAAGTAGTTAGTCAGTTGTAGCCCTAATTTCAGTTTGAGATTTCATTAAGAAGCTTCTTCCTTTTCATACAGTGGAGGCGTCATGTAGGGCTGCATGTTTCTGATGTTTTCCTGTTGGTGTGTTTGTCCACAGAGATGCTCGTGTTGTGAAAGATATGGCTACAGGGAAATCTAAAGGCTATGGCTTTGTGTCTTTCTTCAACAAATGGGTGAGTAGACATCATTGTGTTGATACTGCTGTTAATGGTGGGGTTCTCAAAGCGTTATTATTTCTATAAAACATTCTTGATAGAATAGAATCTTTATGCCTTGTTATATTAAAATAGCACATTGTCACATAGGTTACTTCTTAATTTGTGT